AATTAATTGTATAGTCTGATTTAAGGCAATATTCTAATTCCGAGACAATACCAACCTCTGCATACAGTTTTGCTCTTTCTTCTGTGCATCTGTGTTATAGATTTGATACCACTAGCCTTTAGTGAACTCCCACCTAATCTCATTAGATTTCTCGTGAATTGCGCTACCGCTACTGCATAATGACGACATTATGCAAAAAAAGTTTTCCACCATTAGGAAGGTGATACACCTCCATGTGTAACAGCTCTACCTATGCATTTGCAATCGAAAATGTCATTCTTTTCTTTAGCACTGAACACTTCCGACGTATTTTTGTTTTGTTAATTTTAAGACTTGTGCAGTTGAAGAAACTTAGTTTCCATTTTCTTTCTTCACAGTGAACTTGAGTGTTAATGTGACATCTACTACATGTTGTGTGAGTGAGGAATTTCCTCCTCTACTCGAAGATTTTTTCTGTGGCTTGACTGATCCAAAACTACTGTTGGTGTTGCATTATCTTCAACGATACCAGACCTGGACTTCTTTACTGATGCTTCCCTCCCTGGTTGGTGAGCATATCTGAACAACAATTTCACATTGGACACACTGACCTAGGATGATTGCTCTCTCCATATCCACGTGCTCAAACTTCTGGTGGTCCATCGAGCATGTTCTCATTTCTTACCCCTTCTAGTGGATCATTTAGTTATAATCCATTTAGATAACTCCGGGGTTCTTTGCTATATCAACCACCAAGGGGTATCTAATCAGGAGCCTTTGCTTTCAAACCCTGGATTTTCTCTATGGGTTCTCAATGGGTTTGTCTCATTGTCAGTCATGTGCTGTGTATTATGAACCTTGTTGTAGATTGCCTCGCTAGGCAAGACTGAGTTCTGCCCATAGAATGCTCTCTTCACCCTCGGGCTTTCCTTTGGGTGTTCTCTCAAAAGGGGACTCCACTCATCAATGCACTTACCATCCCTCTCAACTCCAAGCTTTCTCTCTTCTGGTCGCATGTTTCCCATCACTCAACTTTGGCTGTTGATGTTTTCAGCGAGTACTAATCTCATCTATTACTTTATGCCTGTCCATCTCTCCATCATTTACCTTGGGTACTAGCCTTGTTTGCGACACTCCTTGCAATTTCTTCCTGTTGACACCTCTTTGTCCAGCTTAACCTTGGTTTCTTCTTTTCCACCTGGCCACCCGATCCCCTCTTCCTCTGCTTACAATACCCTCACCCTTGCTTTAACCTCACAC